AACCGCACAGGTGATTAAATACCATCGAAAGAAAGCTCAATTCGTGGGAAAAAAAGGACTTAAATTTAATTTCGGTGCAGCATTGCATGACCGCGCAATTGGCAATTATAGTACCGGAGCGCCGTAACACACACGTAAAATGGCCTGGTCAGTAAAATCCTGTGGAGGGCAAGTGGTTAATTAGACTGAGGCACTGTATTTGCACTTTGGGGACACGTTGTAGATACTTTTCACTCTTTTGAATAACAAAGGACATCAATATTGGACACTTTATATATGCATTTTATCTCTATGTATGTAAAATATTAAATAATATTAATGTATAATATTATGGAGTTTAAAATAATATTTTTAAAAGCAGTGCTTATATACTGCTTATTTCATGGTGAATAATGTAGGTGAAAGGTCAATGTTTCTTTTTTCACCAGTTCATTAGGGCAGCAAATAGTGACTTTACATACTGTATCTCCCCTTTCAGCCTGCTCCTGAAACGCCCTTTTGATTTGAACATCAGTTTAAAAACTAAAATGAATTTGCCCCTAGTCATTAAAGTTTTCTTTTAAGCCATTGTTTTCTACTTTCTATTTCTATAATCTAATGTGAGTCAGACCAGGGGTGGACTGACAACTCATGGGGCCCCTGGGCAATAGGGGATCATGGGGCCCCTGTGTCCTTGCCCAAACTCAGAAAAGCCTATGAAAAAAGGTACCAGGGGCATCTCATGGGGCCCCCTACTGACCCCAGGCCCTCGGGCAGCGCCCAAGTTTCCAAATGGTCAGTCCGCCCCTGAGTCAGACTTGAATCTGTGGCATTGATACACAATGCTTCATGAGGTAGGAAACTGACTGCCAGCTGCTGTCACGTAGATCTTCTCCTTATACTGTACAGGGGAGCCTGGGAAGGGGAGAATATTCCAGAAGGATCTGGAATTCAGAGGTTTTCCTGTCTAATCCTCATGGTGGTCCTGCTCCTTAAAAGTTCACCTTTTGGACAAAAATAATAAATGCACATTTATTCAAATCTGACAGTACAGGGGAACTTCTCCCCGTACTATCTGACAGAGGGAGGGGGAGGGCGCGGGGGCGGCTGCAGCTATGGGAGCATGTTACATGTTCCACCCTAAAAACGGGTGCAACATGTAACATGTTCCAAAAGTGAACTTATTCTTTAATCACTTTGGCTCTCACGCCTGTTCACCTCTTATGGACAAGAGCAATTTTTACATTTCTACTAGTGACCTGTTTATTGTGCGATAACTTTGTCATTACCAATGTAATACATATTATTTAAGAACAAACAAGGCTTTCTTTTCGTGAATATTGTCTTGCAACAAAATTATTTTGTTCACAATCCTTAGACAATTAAATGTAACAAAACTAAAGAAAAACAAAGTATTTCTTTTTTTGAACAATGTTAATTTAAAAATAAATAGTGTTACAATCTCCTAGATTGTAAGCTCGTAAGAGTAGGGCCCTCTTACCCCTCGTACGTTGTTTGTTGTTGTTGTACTGTGCCATGTATTGTCCCCCCTATTGTACAGCGCTGAGCAAACCCTTTGGCGCTATATAAACTCGTAGTAATAATAATAATAATAATAATACTGCCAGCCAGGGCGAACTGACCATTTGGAAACTCGGGCACTGCCCGAGGGCCCAGGGTCAGTAGGGGGCCCCATGAGATGCCCCTGGTACCTTTTTCATAGGCTTTTTTGAGTTTGGGCAAGGACAAAGGGGCCTTATGATCCCCTATTGCCCGGGGGCCCCATGAGTTGGCAGTCCGCCCCTGGTTACTGCAGAACAAAAGTGTGCATTTTGGTCTGTAATTTGTCCTGTTTACAATGACACAAAAAAAATCATGATTGTGGTACTTAGCTTTGAAAAGTTATTTACAAATTAAATAAATTCATTTTTTTTTTCAATTTTACGCTTTATTTAATGTGAAAAGTGTAGATATATGTTAAAGATGGAAAAATATTAACGAACTAGTATTAATAGTTTATAGAATAGAAACAAAAAAAATAAAGCAGCAGGAAAATAATAAATGGAGTAGGAGAATAAAGAGTTAATTAGGGCTAATTAGAGTAAATTAAGGATTAATAAGGGGTTAAACAAAGGATTTAAAAACTTTTTTTTTCTAGACAGGTTGCTTTTAACTGACTTCAGGGACAAGCAACCTTTTGAACATGGTGTGCCGAAAAATATTTTAGAAGAAATTGAGAGTGCCAGTTATATGTAAAATGTCAACTTTACACACACAATCACGAAAAGGAATTTTTATACAGTAAATGCTGTAAACTATTTGAATTATAGTAAGAAAACACTACGCTTTGAGGATGGTAAATGGTAACTTACCCCTTTTCCAGAACACATGTTCAGAACACATATGCTGTGAGGCAAGTATGGTAACGTTGAAATTAATATGTCAACTGAGGACGTTTGCGAAATATACAATTGGAAATAAGTTTGAGGTAATAGTGGTCACCCTACTAAAGTTCTCCCAGATCAAACCCAATCTCTGCACCCTCAGACCCTAAATCAGTCCTCATTTCTGCACCTTCACAGCTTAGATCATCCTAATTCCTGCACCTTCATACCTCAGATCACCCCAATTCCTGCACCTTCACACCTCAGATCACCCCAATTCCTGCACCTCCAGGCCTCAGATCACCCCAATACCATTACATCTCAGATCACCCCAATACCTGTACTTTCACACCCCAGATTAGCCCCGATTCCTGCACCTTCACACCTCATATTACACCATATTTCAGCAATCACCCCAAATCCTACACATTTGCACCCCAGGTCAGGCCCAATTCATGTTTCTTCAGGCCTCAGATCAGCTCCAGTTTCTGCACTTTCACGCCCCAGATCAGCCCCAATTTCTACACTTTCACAACTCAGATTACTCCAATTTCTGCACTTTCTCACTGCAGATAGCCCCAATTCCTTTTTCTTCAGGCCTCAGATCAACCCCAATTCCATCACCTTTACACTTCAAATTAGTTCCAATTCCTGCACTTGCACACCTCAGATCACCCCAACTCCTGGACCTCCAGACCTCAGATCAGCCTCAATTCCTGCACCTTCACATCTCAGCTCACACTAATTCTTGCACCTTCACCCGTCAGATCAGTTCCAATTATTGCACCTCCAGGCCTCAGATCAGCCCCAATTCCTACACGTTCACCCCTCAGATCACCCCAATTACTGCAACTTCATATCCCAGTCCCCAGGGACAATTCCTGTGCCTTCAGGCCTCAGTTAAGCTTCAATTCCTGAGCCCTCAGAACTCTGTTCACAATGTCTTCACCTTCACACCTCAGATCACCCCAATTCCTACTCTTTCACACCTCAGATCAGCAGCAATTTCTGTACTTTCACACCTCAGGTCAGTCCCAATATCTGCACCTTCACACTTCAGGTCAGTCCCAATATCTGCACCTTCACACCTCAGGTTTCCCCAATTTGTGCACCTCCAGACCTCAGTTCACCCCAATTCCTGCATTTTTACAACCCAGATTAACCCCAATTCCTGTTCCTTCAGGCCTCAGATCTGTCCCAATTCCAGCATTTTTCCCACCTCAGATCATGCAAATACCTGCATCTTTACACCTCTGATCATTTCCAATTCCTGCACCCCAATTCCGGGACCTTCACACTTCAGCTCACCCCCAAAACCTTTACCTTCACACCTCAGATCAGCCCCAATCTCGGCACCTCCAGGCCTCAGATCAGCCCAGATTCCTGATCCATCAGGCCTTAGTTAAGCCCCAGTTCTTGAAACCCCAGAATTCTGATCACAATTCCTGCACCTTTACATCTCAGATCACCCCAATCAGACCTCAGTTCACCCAAATTCCTACATTTTAACAACCCAGATCAGCCCCAATTCCTGTTCCTTCAGGCCTCAGATCAGCTTCAATTCCTGCATCCTTACAGCTCATATCACCCCAATTCCTGCACCTTCACACTTCAGCTCACCCCAAATTCTGCACTTTCATACCTCAGATCACCTCCATTCCTGCACCTTCACACCTCAGAGTAGCCAGATCCCTGAATCTTTACACCTCTGATCACCCCAAATCAGGGCAAATTCATGTGTCTTTAGGCATCAGACCAGCTCCAGTTTCAGCCCACCCCAGTTCCTGCACTTGTTACTCATAAAAGATTGCTGTGGAAGGGGTTGATAGCCTTTTTAAGATAAACCTGTCTGGCTATGTCCCCTCCAAGCTGAGCCAGGCACATGGCTGTTGAGGCAGAGAAATGTTAAGACAGGGCTTGAAATTTCCACTCGCCTGCTCGTCAATGGCGAGTGGAAATTATGGTGGGGGTGAGTGTGTCCCCCAGGGCCGTCTTGCTGAGCAGGCTCGGATCTCAGGCTGGATCTGTTATTGGCACTGGGAGCTGTCAGACTGCTCAATAGCTGAGCGCACTGAAAGCAAAGAAAGGAGTGTGTGCTGTGCTCTCTGCCTCCCCCTAGAGTGCAGTACCCAGCTCTGTGCGTGAACAAGAAGTACTGCAACATTTTATGGGGGGGGGGGTACATGTGTTTGTGTGTGTCTGTGTATGCATGTACATGTGTATGTGTGTATGTACATACATATGTGTATCTGTACATGTGTCTGCGTGTATGTACATGTGTCTGTGTGTGTGTACATGTGTCTGTGTGCATGTACATGTGTGTGTTTGTGTGTATGTATGTACATGTGTCTGTGTGTATGTACATGTGTCTGTGCGTGTGTATTTCTGTGTATGTACATGTATCTGTGTCTGTACGTGCCTGTGTGTTTATACATGTGTTTGTATGTGTGTGTGTGTGTGTGTACATGTTTCTGTGTGTGTATATGTATGTACATGAATGTGTGTGTGTGTACAGGTGTCTCTGTTTGTGTGTGTTTGTTGGTGGCGAGTAACTCTTAAGGCCTGGCTAGTAGCTCAGGACTTGAAATTTTAAGCCCTGTGTTAAGAGATATAGTAAAAATCTGTCCATGAGCCGGCTCAGGCTAAAAGAGTGCTGAACAGGGGCGGACTGACCATTCGAGCACTCGGGCACTGCCCGAGGGCCCGGGGTCAGTAGGGGGCCCCATGAGATGCCCCTGGTAACTTTCATAGGCTTTTTTGGGTGTGGTTTGAGTTTGGGCGAGGACACAGGGGCCCCATGATCCCCTATTGCCCGGGGGCCCCATGAGTTGTCAGTCCACCCCTGGTGCTGAACCACAGAGGAGAAAAAATACTGAATATAATTACCCTTTGAAAGTTAAAACAAGCAGCCTGGGGAATCTGACTCAACACAACTTCAGTGTGGAGAGAGCAATGCAGGAACCGACACCAGCGGGAATAGAAGTGAGTGGGCACCAGCCGCACCGCTTCTTCAGTATGCAGCCACTGGCCAGCTTAATTGTTTGGGAGGCGGGTCTCCCAGGACTCTCCTTGGGTTTCGTCCTTGATGTTGTCGTGTGCCACCTCCAGCACTAGTGCTGGGAGTTGCCTACCCCTGTTGTACATGAATAAACAGAAAGATAAAAAAATAAACAATGTTTCCTTTTATTTTTTTGTTTTAGCAGCTGTTGTTCGTAAACATTGTCAGGCTGCTTTTTTTTATGACAGCTCCAATTGCCACATATTTACACTTCAGCTGTCAGCAGGGGAATCCTGCTGACAGCTGAATGAGTCATCAGTTGTTAAGGATGTGGCAGCCCTGCTCCTTCACAACCAGTAATTGCCGGCTTTTTTTGTTTACTTTTTTTTTTATTTAAACCTCAGTTGTCATCTGCGGAATCCTGCTGATAGCTGAAAGAACTGAGCCTGAAGGTATTGGTGTCAGGTGTCAGAGCATTTGCACAAGTATTGATACTCATGCAAATGCTTAGTATCAGCACTGATATCGGTATCCGTATCGATGCAACCCTAATAGGAAATATACAACCAACTGCATTATCCTGGATGCAAAAGCCAACAGACCAATTGGGGATTGCATTTCTTCCAGTATTGGTTTCTTTTTACATAAAAATACAGCAACTAAAAGTGATTCAGCTTTCTCAGAAGTGGTATCACAAATGTTGACAATTTAAAAAGAAGAATACACACTCCAAAGACAAGCTGGTAGGTTATTTGGATCCTGTATAAATGGGTCCTAGTATGCGTATATATGAATGTAAGTTAGGAACTTTAGATTGTACGCCCCTTGAGGGTTAGGGACTGATGTGAATGTACAATATATATGTAAAGTGCTGTGTAAATTGATGGTGCTATATAAGTACCTGTAATAAATAATAAAAAATGAATACTCATTCTGAAAAAAGTAGAAAAGTATTCATAAACCAAGTAACCCATTGATAGGCATTTATCAAAAAAGTAGAAATTATCGAAATAAAATTCTTCCTCTGGCCCTTGCTAGGAGCTCCTGTACTGAGGTCGGCTGGCTTGTCCTCGGCTTTCTCATATGCTTCCTGAGGATATTCTTCTTTTTGCTGGAAATGGATATAGATACTGCATTGCTCACTGGGCAGTGGTGCTTGGGCTTTCTTTATCCTGATGAGTGGTAGGATCTTCCTCCTCGGACCAAAGTAGATGGGCATTTTTGGCTGCTGACAGTCATCTTCTCAGCCAGTCTCTGGCGTGCTCTGCTCTTTCCAGGAGAGGTCCTATCAATGTCTTCATGTCAAACCACAAACCTACAGGAGGCCCAATGTATTCTAACCTGTACTATAGCTCTTTTGGTAGCTTGCGGAGGTAGAGATCTGACTGGCAGCTGCTGACATGCAGATCCTCTCCTTATATAAGGGAGCCTGAGAGGAGGACAATATTCCAGAAGAATCTGGAATCCAAAGGTTTTCCTGCCTAAAACTTACATCAGACTGCCTGAGGAATTTCTTTAATCGCTTCCTTTCCCCCTATAGCAAAAGTACTGCTACAGGGTGGCACGGGGGCGCAAAATCGAGTATTTATATATATTTGATTTTGCAGTTCTGGGTAGGGGGCCCAATCCGCGCCGCCATTTCTGGCGGGTCCTGGCCAGTGATTACTCACCAGTACCCAGTGATTGTCGAGCATCTCAGATGGGAGAGAGAACTGTTTGTAAACAATACAGTTCTCTCCCCTGTCAGCTCCTGCACACTGCTGTGCACAGCCATGCAAAGCAGTGTGCTTACAGTGAAGCATACACACAGCACATCATGTAAAATGGCACACAGTTAACCCCTTCCTGCCCAGTGCCATTAGTACAGTGTCAGTGCTTTTTATTAGCAGTGATCATTGTATTGGTGTCACTCAGGGGCGGACTGACAACTCATGGGGCCCCCGGGCAATAGGGGATCATGGGGCCCCTGTGTCCTTGCCCAAACTCAAAAAAGCCTATGAAAAAGGTACCAGGGGCATCTCATGGGGCCCCCTACTGACCCTGGGCCCTCAGGCAGAGTTTCCAAATGGTCAGTCCGCCCCTGGTGTCACTGGGGATGTCAGCGACACCAAGTGAGTTCCCCCCGTGTCAGAATGCTCGCCGCAGTCACGCTATAAGTCACTGATTGCCGCCATTACTAGTATAAAAAAAAATCCCAGTATATATACCATCATTTGCAAACATTATAATGTTCATGTAAACCAATTAATTTACACGTATCGTGATTTTTTTTTTTTTTTAGCAAAGACATGCAGCAGAATACATTTTGGCATAATTTTGTGACAAAATTAGATTTTTTAAATTTTTTTAATAGCAAAAATTAAAAAAGATTGTTTTTTCCTCAAAATTGTCGGTCTTTTTTTTTTATAGCGCAAAAAATAAAAATGCACAGGCAATGAAATACCAACAAAGGCCGTAAAGTTAATTTGGGTGCAGCATTGCATGACTGCGCAATTGTCAGTTAAAGTAACACAGCGCCGTAATGAAAAAAATGGCCTGGTCAAGAAGGGGGGTAAATTCTCTGGAGGGCAAGTGGTTAAGTGCAATTACCTAATAAAAGATGAGGAAAAAACTGAAGGGGAGAAAGAACAATAGCTCCTGCAATATCATAAAGGTGGGCCCCTTATTCAGTTGAACCCTAAATAAGGGGAAAGGCTGCAGTTTCCTCCAACATTGGCTTGAGGAGGGAAACCCTGTTTGTACAGAGTGACCCCTCACTAGGCCTCAAGAAGTTGCTTTATGATCATTGTGAATGGTGAGAGGCCCTGTGGCCACCTATTTAAAACTGACCCTGCTGCTGTTGTTTTTTAAAGTTGTTGCCTGTGAAAAGTGCCAGTCTGGTACCTGCTACCGTTTTTCTATCAGATTATAAATACTCTCATGTGAAAGAGTAAGCACTCCAAGGGGAGATCCAGGGCTCCAGTGCCAGCTAATTGTGCTTAGACCCACTAGCCAGTGGTTTCTTTCATTCTCAGTCACGTCACCAAGATAGTTTGCTGTTTTTCATAATAGATTTGTACATTGTGTCTCTTGTTACAGTTTTGTGCTGCTTTAGATGCTCTATTGAGTTGTATTATCATTGTTGGTCGCTCCACTTATTTTCTTTTCTACAGGGCATTTGTCTGGTCATTAAAGTTAATTTAAAGCCATGTTTGTGGCAGGAAGTGTGGTGCTTCTCTCTAGAGTCGTGGACATGGACAGCAAAACAGTGGCTCATTCAGGGGTGAGTACTACAGCAGGGGCGGACTGACCATTCGAGCACTCGGGCGCTGCCCGAGGGCCCAGGGTTAGTAGGGGGCCCCATGAGATGCCCCTGGTACCTTTCATTGTTTTTTTCATAGGCTTTTTTGGGTGTGGGCAAGGACATGGGGGCCCCATGATCCCCTATTGCCCGGGGGCCCCATGAGTTGTCAGTCCACCCCTGTACTACAGTCATGTATGAAGGCCACCTTTGGCTACTTGCAGCTCCAACACAGATACAAAACACTATGAAAAATAATAGATAAAACTGTTTTATTAATAGTTTTGTAAAATGCCTATTATTAATCTTCTCTTCAGTTTGTATTATTTTAGGACAGTGTAGAAACATTCAAATCCTCTGGATCTTTCTTGTAATTTCTACCCAGAAGAGTGACACTGAGAAGTGCATGTGAAGATATATTTGCATTGCTTACTAAGCGCCCATCGTTTAATACCTAGAGCAAGACAGAGAACAGAAAGTATTTAGTTAGCAGCTGATCTTACATGTTGTTTGTAATTATAAATAATAGCATTAAATTGTAACAACTTGAATGTTAAAACTAAAGTGTATGTACACCGTAAATGTATTTTACATTAACTATTAGAAATATTGTTGAATTGTAACAAACCCAATGGTAAAATTAAGAAAGCATTAAAAAGTGTCCACTATTAAAACAAATTTATTTTTTTATTTTATCCAAAATAAAACAAATTTAAATGAAATATTATGAGGAGAATGTACCAAGTGACTGGTACAGAGCAATTGTATAAAGATTGCTAAAGGTTGTGGCAGGTGCAGTCTGCTTCCTCCACTGTAGGTGGCTCTCGACCAGAGTGGTACTGCAGTTGGAGAGGAAGTCAGGAGAAGCCTGGCTTCTCTATGATTTTCGACTCCCTGGAGGCAGCATTCCAATTGACTATGCCACATCCAGGTGCCATATATGGGTATATATATACGTGATTTTGCAAAGGAGAGCCACCCTGTAGCAGTGAAACAGCTATAGGGTGTAGGGAAACTGGATTAGATAGTTTATTTCAGGTCAGGCTGGAGGACTCTACAGGTCAGTACTTTGGTACCTCCCCCTGCTCTAGAAGCTTGGAGAAGCTTCTAGAAGTTAGTAGATGGATGCAACGAGAAGCTGATTTGCATATTCATGGATGTCTGACCAATACCAGGCAGGAGGTCTGGCAGTGTGGCAGACTGGGCCATAAATATGGCAGAGCTTGGCCAGCAAGGGGAATTGGGTGGTGCTGCCATGTAGCCTGGGAGGGGGCCATAGAGAAGGGGGGTTCTGCCTCCAGAAACCCTTTTTCCGTATCCAAGTTGAAATCCTTAATAAATACAAAAAAAAACAAGCCCATGGACTTTTTTTTTCTGTCTGGATGGAAAATGCACATTGCCTGGCTGTACAGAAAATAAGGTTGACCCAAAACCAACTGCTCTCAAGGGGGGTAATATGTAGCATGTATTGCACATTTGATATTGGGTATTCTTTAAAAAGTAAAACTTCACCACATTCACTAAGCTCTTGGGAAAATGAGTGCAAAAGTCTATTTGCCTTTACTAAATCAACCCCAGTGGGTATACCCACATAGCCAGAGGTAAAAAAAAAATAATTCAGATCCCTCTTTTACAGTTAACTCTAAACTGATGAACTGTAAAGGCGGTTATAGTGTCAAGTGTTTGTAGCATTACCCCCATATGGGATGTTGGTAACAGCTGGATCTTCCCGTATATTATAGACACTGCCAGTCACCCAAGCACCAGTCCACACATTATGGCTCCAATGAGTCAGTCTAGGGGATATCTTTTTGTAATTTATTGCTTAAAGTATTTTAACAGGGCATGAGATACTTCAAAACTCTCAGTACTTAAATTTTTGAGTAATAGCGCATCTTAACACAGTCTAAAGCCTCTCGGTTGAAGAGCAAGGGGCAAATCTTTTAAGCATCTGGTTACCTTATGCTGATGCACAACTGCTGGTACCCAGTGCAGCTTCCAAAAAACTACACAGTCACAGGGGTCAGTTTGGAGTCTTTACTCATAAGTCCCCAGGACAGCTGCTACCTTCCAGCTTCCTCCAGACATGGTCCAGTGAGTGAGACAACACCTCTCTAGACCAGATCCCCTGTGGTCTGCAATTAACTCCAAGCAAAATCCATCCAGGCCCTCAGTCTTGACACCGCTAAGGCCTCTTTTAACAGCTAAACAGTCCATGGGATGCCTGCGGGCAGCAGCGCCTCTGGCTCTGGAATCCTCTTGAGGAGAGGGAACACAGCTTTTCAGTGTCTCAGACTATTTATCACCATTCCAGCCCCCTTATGGACAATCCTCTCCTGCCCTAAGCTCTGGAAGCTTCTTCCAGAGGCAGAGGAAAGCAATCAGACTCTAAGCCTGTGAAACCCTGAACAGGCCAGGCCAAACAATTTCTGCTCCTTTGATCACAGAAGTGATCAAAAGATGTGCCTAGCATCCTTCTCTAGGAGGGTGCTACATATTATTAATTTTGGTTACCATGGTTTTTTTTCTGTTTCACACGTTAAGGTTGGCTCTGAGGAAGAGGTTGTGTCCTCGAAACGCGTTAGAAAGTTGGTCATCCAGGGTTCCATCGTATGGACTCAGATGTTGTTTGGATCATACACCTTGTTCAGTTTGACATGCCTGTGTTATTATGTCCATTGTGAGTATGATACCTATTTTTATTTCTCTAATAAATTATTTTAAATGATAATGCACTAGGTCGGTGTGCCCTTTTTCTGTTTCTCCATTTGTATCCAGTGTATTCAGATCACCCCCTGTCTGTTGAGGGCAGCAAGCAGTGCATATTCAAGAAAATTCCAGAACATTCCTATTGGGTCTACTGAGTCCTTTCCTAGCGCAGGAGTAAAGTGTTTGTTGTGTTGGATTCACACGTTAAGGCCGCCTGACATATTTGATGTCTATTTATTCAACATAACCTCATTTTATATATTTTTATATTGAGGGTGATATTGTTGCACAATATCATGCATAAAAATGAGAACAATTGCTTGGGGAGTAAAAGGATTAACATTCCAATAAAGCACCAATGAGTGAACCATAGTAGTTATTGATTACCTCAAATAGTTCAGGTGCCAGTTTAACACCACTTAGCAGAACCTCTGGAAACACATGGGAGGAGTTAAATGTACCGCTAACAGAAAATGATTCAAATTTGGTGAGAGCAGTTTCAGAAGCTTCATCAAGCGATTCCAGACTATTATACTTTAATAAAGTACACACCTAAATAAGAAGAAAAGAAACGCAGAATAAATACCAAAAAAAAAATTAATTTTAAAGTAGTAGTAAACACAAAAAAAAAAAAAAAAAGAAACTTTTCCCCTGCATGGCAATGCCATAATGTGCTAGTATGCACTGCATACTAGCACATTATGAAATACCTGAAAACAACGCTCTTCATTGGCACATTGTCACCGCTGATAGGGCTTCCATCTTCACTCAATCTTCCTTACGTGTTCATGGGCTCTGACCATCTGACTGGTTGAGCCACTCTGATGTCACTCCTGCATATGCACGCAGGAGTCCTGGCTGTGGCATGGAGCTCTGGAGGAACGGCACGGGTATGCCTTTCCTTCAGGGTGCATTCACCGGTGATGTAACCAGCTTGTACAGAAGTAAATATCTCCTTAACGGTAGACAATTAGGAGATATTTACAGTACCTACAGATAAGCCTTATTATAGGTTTTACCAGTAGGTAAAAGGTCAACAAAACTATTTCCCAATTTACTTATGAGATCAAATACCAAGGTATTTACAAAGCCTTTAAAGTGCTAATGGTAACGTGCTCCAAGGCTGCCCAATGTTTGCCAAAGAGATGTATATCAGAGACACTCATTTACCACACAATGAAATAATAGTATATTTTGCAAGACCCAACTTGAAAAATGTGTTAGCTTGCAACAGCCGATTTCCACTGCAAAGTTTCTCACCATCATTGTAAGTAAGGCTCTTGTTTGTTTCACACACTTTACTTATCAAGAATGCATGATAAACTTTAAAAGGAAACAGAAGCAAACATGTAGTTAACATATTTTGCTCTATTGAAATATTTAATCTAAAGTAATTTTTTCACAGACTTCTATGGGTTCATCTCCCAAGCCTCTCCTGACTGAATAAACAGACCCATAGAAATCTTTAAATTACTTTATCTAATAGTACTGTTAAAAGGACCATGATGTAAAAGGGAACTCTGATGTAAGGGGGAACACTGCGGACCCTGATGCAAAAAGGAATACTGCTGACTGTGATGTAAGGAGGGGGCTTTTGACAACCTTACATCAGAGTCCCCCTTTACATCACGGTCTGCAGTGTCCCCCTTACATCAGAGTTCCCCTGTACTTCAGGGTCCTCAGAGGTCCTGTTGCACTGTAAGGGAGAACCCTGCAGATTCTGATGTAAAGGAAAACTCAGAGGACTCTGATATAAAGGGAACTCTGGGGACTAGAGACCCCCTTACATGAGAATTTACCTTTACATCTCTTTACATCACAGTCCGAAGAATTCCCCTTTACACATATAAAAATATTTTATCAAGAAAAAACAAGTCAGTCTTACGGTCTTTTCTTGGAGGGGGGTGGCACATCAGAATTCTCTGCTATAGGCACAAGAGATGTAAATAAGGCCCAGGTGATTTCCCTGTGAATGCAGTGCAATTTTCAGTGCAATTTAAGTCATACAAAATTAATGGCTCAAATCCCACTGCAAATTGCACAACACCTGCAACTGCTGCCTCCACACACACAAAGACTCCCACAAGCTGTCAGACATTAGACCAATGTATTTGTTTCAAACACCAACAGCCACCAAGCAGTCAGCAGCACTCCTCCATCCCACTGAGGGCTTGGAGTCTTACAACTTGTGCGAGTCTTTGTGTATATAGAGGCACACTGGGTCAATGTTACAGTCATATATGGAGCGGGTGACTGAACTATTATCCAGGCAACGGGGAGAGTAGAGCGGGACTTTCACAGTGTGATGTCAACACATAGGATGATATGCATTTTTATATACACCCAGGGGCAGACTGACCATTTGGAAACTCAGGCACTGCCTGAGGGCCCGGGGTCTGTAGGGGGCCCCATGAGATGCCCCTGGTACCTTTTTCATAGGCTTTTTTGAGTTTGGGCAAGGACACAGGGGCCCCATGATCCCCTATTGCCCGGGGGCCCCATGACTTGTCAGTCCACCCCTGTATACACCTACAATTGTGAGTGCAACTTTACTTGCGTCATACTTATTTTTTGCCTGTGATTTGAACAGGAATGCGGTCCTG